AAAATATGGAAAAGTTCAAGGAGTATGAATACTTTTGCAAACCACTGTAATACAAAGTGAGTGAGAAAAACATCCTAAGTAAAAATAAGAGTAAAATATGTTATCACGCAACGAAGGAGTGATTGTGTGTGTGTGTGTGCGTGCGTGCGTGCGTGCGTGTGAAGCTGCTGTGGTGTGCAGCCGGCGCATCCATTCATTCATTCTGAGCCTGGAAATATTAACTTTACACAGGAGTTTATTACCATAATTAGAGAGGAACAGAGGAACTTAAATGTTTGGTAGAACGTAGATCTTTGTTTATTTCATAGCTGATATGAATAAACGAGTCACTGCGCCTCAGTGGAGAGTTTTCATGAGTTAGAATCAGATGGATGAGACTGTTCCATCAGTCATGATTCAGCTTTGGGTGGACTGGACTGGCACAGTTTCGATCGGTCTGCCAGCTCCCTCTGGAAAGCCCCTGTGGAACCCCAGTTCAATCGCTGCTGCTGCACGTGCATGCGTACCGATGTGTTGCGCTCCCAGAGCGCCTCAGTGCCAAACTGAAAGGATTTTTCCTCAAAACGGCTGATGAGCCCATCGTCATCATGGATCAGAAAATTCTATCTGTTTATAAATAAATGCACTGCATGTAACACTATTTATTATATTCTCCAGTAAGGCTGAATCAGTTCCTGGTAAATGTATTTTTGGCACAACTTTGCCCGTCTTTTATCTAATACCCCTTTTCCATGGTGTAGTGTCGGAACAGTCGGTGTAGATATGGGTCGGTACGGGTCGGACCGGTTGGTTTTCCACTGATGTTCCAGTCCGTTCCAATGGGTGTGTTTTGGGCAGTTGGTGGAGGTGGTTTTTAGGTTTTTTAAAAAGAAGTTAATGGGAAAAATAAGAGATAGAAACACATTTGATGAATAACTTTTGAAATTTTAAAAATTTGCAAAGATTTAGACAATCAGTGACGAACAGTGTTCTGACGTCGCATTTTGGTGTCATCTGGGGCCGCTTGGAACCACAATGAAGTAGGTACTAAAAAAAGTGCCGGTTCCATGAATCTGGCCTAATGGAAATGGCTTGGAACCATACCGAACCGTACCGACACTACACTAAGTGGCACTAGTGGAAAAGGGGCATAACTGCATCCATGTGGATGTAATAATTGTTAATCATGTGTGTCTGGTGTGAACAGTAATCATTTTCACATCATGAACAGTTTCTCAGAATCACCTCGTAAGTGTCGCCAACGGAGCCAGAACCACAGAAACGTGCGTACACCAGCCCTGGAGTTGGCGTGGGGCTGTGCACATTTTCACATTCATTTCAGTTTTGATACATCCAGAGTTTTGCGTGGAAGATGGCGTACGCAAGGTTTTTGTGCGAATGCACCGTTGATACATGAGGCCCCTGGTGTTCTAGTGGTCCGTTTGCATAGATTTTTGTGAACATCAATATTTTGCACCCAAATACAGGAGAAATCTGTTCCAGGATGAAACTTCCTGAATGTGTTCTTTTTTATTATGTCTTTCCCAGTTTTATTTTTTATTTTTGCCCAATTTACTAATAACTTTATTTGTTGAATTAGCCCCACTGCTGGAAGAAAGCCAAATGGCTATGGTGGTTGTTTTTTTTATTTGTAATTTTCCCTTTGCTGTTTTTATTTTTTTGTCCAATCTTGACGTCACTGCAAAGCATGTTGGAAGTGTTCCCAACAAATATTTAAACCTCTTTCTTCCTCGATTAGAACGGTGAAACTTTTTCAGTAACACACAGCAGTTTTCAGCCTTGTTTGCACACTGAAAACTAGGTGAAGAAAATGTTTCTGATCTTTTTTTTTCTAGGTACTTCAGATTAATTTGGAAGTAGTTTCCATCTTTTTTTCTTCTTGCTTCTAATACCAAAAAAATATTATTATTTGAGAGACAGTGAATTATTAGGACCAGAAACAAACAGACCTCTCTGGCTTGTTGTAAGCTTCTCCGCAGCAGTGTGGTGAAATATATTTTGGTGGATTGGTAAAAAAGTAAAAATGAATAATAGCACAAATAATAATTTTTCAAAGAACAGACACCAACAATAATAGAAGGGTTTATTCTTGGGAGAATTTTGTGTATTTTAGGTATTTCTTATTTACAGTGAGATTTTTTTGGAACATCATTTACTTTGTTGCCATCAACTATAGGTTGTAGGTTAAGAGTAGGGTTGGGCAATAAAATATTAACGATATACTGTGTATCACGATGAACAAGTGATCAGTATCAAAAGAAAATACTTYAGATAGAATGTTGATAATTTCACTGAACGTTTTAGAAAACTTATGCCAACTTATCAAGTATGTCTTGATTCAGAAAAAATGGAAAGTTTGTCTCAATAAGTCTCCTAGTATTACTGCATTGTCTATAATAGATATTTTACTTCAGCTTTGTTCGCTTCGCTTGGTAAGCTTGTTGTGTGCATTTAGAAACAGTTTTAAGATTAAGAAGCACAAAACGTGAATGTAAAACGTAAATTTCATTTTGCTACTATGAACTATGCAAATTCTCATTTTTTATACTTGTTTCACACATTTTGTAATTACACATTATAAAATGGTGTGAAGCAATTAAAGTGCATAGGTTTAATACAAATATAGACACACACATTAAGTTCTTTAAGGAATCGGATAACAACCACCTGGTGACCTGTGTGTTGCCTTGAAAAAGCGTTGAGTAGAGAGCTTCATTTTCGTTCATGTTTCAGACTGCGTCTGGCCTTAAAGTTAATTTAAGTGAAAGCTGCTATGATTCTGGTATTAAGAGGTGCTGTGCTCTCCCATCCGATTAATCCACCCTGGTTCTGCATGCCCAGTCTCTTTTTCACCCTTTAACTAACGAATTAGAAGTTTTGTAAGCTTAAAATTGTCATGGCACATTTTCAGTCTGTAATTGTTTGTGTCTGTTTTTTGTTTTGTTTTTTTATTGAAGGTGGAGATGTGGTGAAGATTGCACAACTGGCCAACATAGCAGGTGGTCAGACTCGTATCGCCCAGCCAGAGACTCCAGTCACGCTGCAGTTTCAGGGGAATAAGTTCACTCTGTCACCCAGCCAGCTCCGGCAGCTCACCACCGGACAGCCCTTGCAGCTTCAAGGTACACTCGGTAATGTAAATCCCATTGTGACACTTCTTCCCTTTTATACTCTTCTTTATTTCCTTTTTGTGCCTGTTTAAATTTTCTAGATAATTTGCTTTCTGTGAGTTTTTTTTATATTACTCAGTTTTGACTAGATATTGAAAACCTAAATGACAAATATATAACTTGTTTGTTTACCTAATAAGATCTGAAGCATTTTATTATAAGAAAGAACAGATGAGTGTAAGCTGTTTACCTCATCCTCACTTTAATACTTCTGTCAGTTTCTAGTTTAAAAAAAAGTCCTTAAAGGGATCCATGATTAGTTGTAACATTAGACTTTATTTAATACACATATATTTTAACTGTAAAATAAAGACTGTAAAAATACTTTAGGCTGTTTAGTTTTTATAGTTTTTAAACTAAAAGTTTAAAATATATTACACGGAGAGGGTCATTTTATTTACACACAAAGCATTCTGGGTAAATGATGATGTGGATAGGTCCTCGCTGTGAGTGAGCTATATCCACCCTGAAGGTTAATCTTGGACAATATCTGACAATCGACTCTTTTAAATGAAACCAGAGAGMGTTGACAGAGAGGAGAAGGTAGAAATGACTCAGCCTGTAACTGAAAATATGGATGGAGGACAACAGAGCTGCTTCATGGAAGAAGAACCTCAGCTTAGCCTGTTAGCTTTAGCGTTAGCCCCGACACTATCACCATATATATGTATTAGCTCAGCGCTACACATTCTCCTCTCGTCACTGAGGTCCTCCATCCACATGACAGAGAGGGGAACACAAAAATGACTCAGCCTGTAACTGAAAATATGGATGGAGGACCTCAGTTTAGCTTGTTAGTTTGTTGTGCTAGCGCCGAGCTAATACATATATATAAAGAGTCGATCATCAGATATTGTCCAATATTAACCTTCAGGGTGGATATAGCTCGCTCACACTGAGGACCTATCCACGCCATCATTTACCCAGAATGCTTTGTGTGTAAATAAAATGGCTCCGTCCTTGTTAAAATATATTTTGAAATATTTACAAAACTGAACATCCTACAGTATTTTTACAGTCTTTATTTTACAGTTAAAATTTATGTTTATCAAATAAAGTCTAAAGTTACAACTAATCGGGGATCCCCTTAAAATTAAACGCATTGCATATATTTTAACTGATGCTTTAGCTGTAATTTTACTTGATATTACCCCTCTGCTGCTCAGTTTTTGTATCTACCTTGTGTACGGTTCCAAGGAGTCATGTCTCTCTGTGTGTGTGTGTGTGTGTGTGTGTGTGTGTGTGTGTGTGTGTGTCACGGCTTTAGGCAACATCCTGCATATTGTGTCGGCTCCGGGGCAGCAGATCATAAGGCCACAGGGATCCATGGTTTTGCAAACAATGCCTCAAGCTGTTCCTGCTTCCAGTGCTTCAGTAACACCTGGCACACCGCTTCCTGCTCTTTCAACAGCTCAGCAAAGTAACTCTATAACAGCTTCAATATTGTGTTACTGTCTTTGTCTCTGAATCTGCTGTTTAAAAAAAACCTGTTACCAGTTTAAATCTACATTTATATATTACTGTGGGACACCAAAGGCTATGTTTCCTACAGTAAAGTTTCTCCTGCTGTATTAAACTTCATCTGTTTATTTGTGTGTTCTTAAATTGACATTTTATCTTTTTTATTTTTTTAGCACTGGGTGTGACTACAAATGCCACGTCGTCTCCCACCAAACACACTGCAGCTCATGGTGGTTCTCGGGTCAGTATGTTCAGGAAAAAAGAATATGAGTGATAGATAAATATGCCACTGTTTATTTAAAACCATTTTAGATGTATTGAAATGTTTGAAAAAGGAAATAGTTTTTAGAATTTATTTAAAAACAAATTGTCCTCAAAGAACAATAAAACTACATTTTACCATGGAGCTTAAACTTAACTGAATTTCTGGTTAATATGTAGATAAGTTAAAGTTATCGAAGATATATTTAGTGTTGTCACATCTGCAACTATAAATGCTAAAAATAAAAGAATGTTTGTTTTTGTTATGTAGTCAGTCGTACAGTGGATGAACCTCAGCACATTATAAATCTGTTAAATAACCAGAAGAAACAAATATAGGGTTATGGTACAGCAAAGTTAAATCCCTGTTTACAACTTTGCAATATTGTTTTTGAAAGAATTGAAACAATCGGGTTTGAAATAAAAACTCCAAAACTTTTTGGAACTGAAATGCAATCAGAACTAGACATGGGTTTTTACAATGTAAAAACAAGTGTGCATTGCCACGTAGCATGTCATTGCAGCATGGTTTTGCCTGCAGCATTGGACTTGCAGAATGAACTTTGACCAAGTTCAAATGTGTTTTCTATACCAGCTTGTGCCTGTCACGTCAGCAGGTGTTTGTAATTAAGGTAATTGAGTGCAATATGAAGTTGTAGACATTTTTGTTAAAGTTGCATAAGGCAGGTTTTGAACCCTGATCTCCCACATGAAAGTCCACAGTGCTCATCATGAGACTATAGTAGATGTGGCAGAGGACAATCCCAGGGATTGGATTGTGTATACAGAAAACTTTTACCTTGTCAATGCAATTATTGACACTTAAGTGCAATATATTACAACAATAGAGCAGTATTAAGACAATATTATAGTAAAACATCAAAATACAATAATATTATTATTGTAAACACTGAACAATTGAGATGAAATATTATTAAAGTATGGAGCAGTACCAAGTTGAGTCCAGCATGGGGCAGTATTGGACCATTACAAGGCTGCATTGACTCCAATTATATGAATTTTGGAACAAAGTTTAAACATTAATATTTCAAAAACTACAAATTGCACAGCCACCAGAAGAAATAGCAATCATTTGGCACAGGACCTTTACAGATATAAATTATAATGGCAGCTGTAGGACAAAGTATGCAGGAGGAGTAGCGTGGCGACKTGGAAGAAGATGGAATAATAAGCTGAATAATAAAGAGAAACAGGAAAACAATAGTGTGCATTGAATTGGCAATGCACACTGAATATTAACGGCTGCTACAAAACACATGCAAGAATTTATGTTTGCTCAGAAACAAAACTAGCTTTAGGTCTCTGGTTGTGTTTTTGTAGAATATCTTTTGGAAAATTTGGTCTATTATTAATAAAAATAAATATTATTTTTTGTGGTTCATTGAAGTATATTACCTTTATTAGTTTAAACTSTTTAAGACTTTCAGTTTCCTTATTGGTTCTACATTTTATTTAATTTTATTTTGAAAGGACTACACATTTTGTGCCTTGGCTACAGCTATGTAAGCACTTTTCAAAAGACTGTAATTGTGTCTTTGTTCACTGTTGTGTTCAGGAGGCTTCAGGAGAAAAGACTCAGCTGCTAAAGGAGCGTCTGACCCGCCTGTTTGAAGCGAATGAGCGGCGCTGCAGCCGCAGAGTGCTGTATGGTTCGGATGTGCTGCAGGCGTGCACTCTGAGCCCAGATTCGGGTCACTCTGCTCTGACTGCTGGAGGCTGGAGGTGGGTGGGCAGGGAGAGCTGCATCAGGGCTCAGACAACATGTGTAGGTACAACTTCCATTCTGCAGTCCACTCTGCTCACCACAGAGGACCGCCTGGAGKCTGCCCAAAGTCTGATCAAGAGGTAATTCAGTTAGAATACTTTCATATATTGTTGGGGGATCTTCACTGTGACTGTGTTAACTGATGGACATGCTTCTGGAGTTTTATTACAATATTTTATTTACTAATTGAAATAATGACGTGCCTTTTATCTGTATATCACACATCAGTTGTTGACTGCTGTTCTTACCTTGCAGGCTGACGTGTGTGGTGCCTCCAGCTGTAGCTCCACCCTCTCATCTGTATGCAGCCAATCCACCTGTTTCCTACAGCCTTGAACTGAAATCCTTCCAGAGGCGACTGCTAGAGGCCTCTGCCCCGCACAGCGCAGAAATCCACCATTTAGCATCCAGACATCTCTTGACTTATACCGACTTACAGTTAATGCAGGTGGACTCTGGTTAGTTCCTGTCTTGTTGCTGACCTGCCTCAGTTTATCTAATCTTCTCAATCAGCAACAAGCTGAAACTGCTGAACAATTCAAACTGTGTTTGTAGCAAATATCTCAGTTTTAAGTAAACTTTCCTGTAGCTAAAGTCAATTGTTAAGGCATCCAAAAATCAGAATATATATATATATATATAAAGCAAAAATAATAAATGTTTTTTTTTCTTTCTCAAGGTAAACTGGAAGCTCTTGCAATCCTACTGCAGAAGCTCAGATCAGAGAGCAGGCGTGTCCTCATCTTCACTCAGATGGTAAAGATGCTGGACATCTTGGAGGCCTTCCTGGATTACAGACAGCTCACTTACATGCGCATTGATGAAAACCTCACTTGTGAAGAAAGACAGGTAAAAATATCACCACCATTTTATCTGGTTATGAAAGCAACACTTATTTTACCTTAGTGGAATATTTTTGCTGTTGCACTGTGAAGGATACAAACTAATATAATAATAAATTAGAGCCAAGTATAACAGTAAATGGGTACATGTATACATACATTAAACTGAACCTTTACCACTCGAAAGGGAGACATCTTTCTGCTCTGTTTGAAGCTAATATAATTTTCATGAAAAGCTATATTTATGTAGATATAATAAGTATTCAGTCTTTAGGAACACTGCCTTCCAGTAAGTTGCTATCTACAGGAAGTGATTTGCCACACATGCATATAACMAATGAAATCAGGGATGTTCGGTGCTCCAGTCTGAATAAGGGAAAAATGAAATGATTAAACCAGACACCACAGACACCAGATACAGCACCTTCAGTCTTTTAGTAGGCATTGATATAGCCTTGTTTGGCATTGAAATAACATTATTTACCCTGCTGGGTACCATTTTCACTGTAGCTTCTGGCCCAATAATTAAATTACCTGTTTTTCTATCCAAATCTGAAATGTGTAGCACAACTTTAAAGGCATTCAGTCATTCATACACTGACACTCTTTCAGTTGTATGACAGGTAATGATGAAAGAGTCAGTGTCTCATATTTTCACACCCTTTTGTTATCTCAAAGATAACAGGAGATGGGATTCTAATTTTAAAGTTACCCTTAAAACATTAAGCATAGTTRGATTGTGACAGCGTCTTTATAGTGTTGTTCCCCACGCTGTTCATGACTAATGTTGTGGACCTGCAGGAAAACATGAAGAAGTTTAACAGGAGCAGGCAGGTGTTCTGCAGCATCCTGACCAACCGCTGTTGCCCTGCGGTTGGGACCATGGTGGATGCAGACACCATCATCTTCTACGACACAGACCTCAACCCAACCATGGACGCCCGCACCCAGGAGTGGTGTGATAAAGTCGGGCGATCTAAGGACATTCATATATACAGGTAATATTTTTAAAACAAACCTGAACAACTTAGGCTCTTCATTCTTATGTTTCCTATTCCCCTCCTAGTAAATAGTGTATATATTAGAGAACTTATTCACCTAAATATTGTTTAAGACTTCAGTGATTTTGTTTGCAGAATGGAGAGTGGAAATTCTATTGAAGAGAAGTTATTAAAAAATGGTACCAAGGACCTTATAAGGGAAGTGGCTGCTCAGGGTACTGACTACACATTGGCTTTCCTCACACAGGTAAGAATATCTGTATTTATTTTAATCTGCAGTTACTCTCATCCCAATATGTTTTGAAGACATCAGTCATCAAATTAACGTTTAGGAAAAATATAACTAAAGTTTTACTGAACATAGTTTAACTGGTACTGTGTCTGTAGCGGACAATCCAAGATCTGTTTGAAGTGGAGGCGGGTTCAGGCGTGAAGGTGGAGGAGTTTGTGGTTCTTCACCAGGAGCCTTCGGCCTCAGAAGCCATTTCTCCCAAAGTAGCGAGACCCTACATCCAGGCTCTCCACAGCATCAACCTGGATGCTGGACCAGAGGAGGAAGAAGAGAACGAGTCAGCAGAGGAGTCAGAGAACCAAACTGTAGAGGAGCCTGGTCTGATAGAAGAGCTGAATGCAGTCATGGAACAGGTGACTTTACTTTATGTATTTTTTTCAAATACACTCTAGAGTGAAAGACAAATACACTAGCTTAAAGAAATGCTGTGTTTGGTCATTTAATTTGTATTTATTCATTGTTTCTAAAACAGCTAACCCCTATTGAAAAATATGCCCTGCATTATCTGGAGTACCTCAACATCAGTGATGAAGAAGCTGCACTGAAGGTAAGCTAGATTTACCCTCATGCATGTACTGTATTTACATAATTTACTGAGGCTGCTGAAAATCAGTCCAATAAGATTCTCGTGATTTTAAGCATGTTCTTATTACCATGCTAGTATAGTATTTATCCTATTTATAAACTCCACTAATTTATATGTTTATTTTCTCCAGGAGAGGCTGGAGTGCTCTAAGAGAGGCTGGGAGATTCAACAGCTGCAGAAACTAAAGGAGGAGGAGGAGGAAGAGAGCCAGATGACTGAGGGAGAGGAAGATCTATTCACTTATACCAGAGAGGATGCTTACAACATGGTGATGGACCGCTCCGGTCTTCGCTGATCAAAGAAAGAAAAATGTTTGCTTTCAGTTGCACCTTGTTGATACTCTTTTCTTTTCACTTGAACAGGAATATGTATTTGATGCAGAGGATGGTCATACAGAAATAATGCCGGTAAGACACCAAATATGGCATATTTGGAAAAAACCTTTACAAACTGTACCAATGGCTGTTTATTTTGACCTTTTGTTACACAGATCCTGTTGTGTTATGAAGGGTTATGTACTGTTTTGATTGCATCTATCTGACTAATAACATAATAAAAGTGTTGTGGCACTATAAAAGACCAAGCAGTCAAGCCACAAAGTGATTAAGAATTTACACAGCTAAATAAAAGAGGTGCTCTAAATATAACTGATCAAAAATGTAGCTTAAAAACCTGAAGAATGGGGCACACTGACCAAACACAATGACACAGTGGGGTTACTTGTTTGGTCCTGCTCAGGTGTGTGTGTGTCTCCAGTGGGTGTGATTGTGGGTGGATATCTTTCAGCACACAGCTTGAGCTGTTGTGATCTTATCATTTGGTAGTCTGTCTTTTTTGTTTTGTTTTCATCACGGCACTGTTTATTAGTGCTTGTGTAACTATGGGAGAACAGTATGTCTGAAAGTTCAAAAGGAGGTGGACACCTGAGCAGCTAAATTAAAACGCGATATTAAATTATCAACATTTTAAATCCACACTTTGTTAATAAGTGCACCCAATAATCCCATTGTTGGGTTAAAAATACAAGTTTTAACAGATCAGGTAACCAAATAATAAAGGATAATTAGCTGTAAATGTAATCAAAAGTAATGAGTGTGTGTGCAGGGCTGATTTTACCCATGTGTAGCTGAGGCCATCACAGGCACAAAACAACTCAAACAGCTGTTTCCTTGTTTCTAACGTGTGATTTCCAACACAGCTTTGGACTCCTCCCACACCGCCACAGGATGACAACGATATTTATATTGATTCTGTGATGATGTTGATGTACGACACCACACCCATGCCAGAGTCCAAACTACCTCCCGTCTACATTCGCAAGGAGCACAAGAGACTTAAGATGGACCCCTCCGGTATAACGAATTACCTTACGAATCGTCTTTAAAAGCTTCAGTCGTTGAAATAAAAGGGGCATATCATGCCACTTGTGAGACTAATTCCTTGTCTGTTTTTGTCTAGCAGCGGCCAGAAAAAAGAAGAAGGGCCACGGGGAGACGGTCATACCTCCACGCTCTCTTTTTGAAAAGGCCAGCATGCTCAAAGTTCGCCGTGAGAGCAAAGACCAGAAAAAGAACTTTTCCCTCAAGCAGCAGGTACCTTTTGCCAAACCCCTGCCCTCGCTGGTTAAACCGGCCATGGAGGCAGGTCAGGACAACCCCGAGTGGCTCATCAGTGAGGACTGGGCTCTGCTTCAGGTAATGCATCGCAGACAGTCTGAGCTAATACTACTAATAAATGCCTGCTTTTATGTCTCTTAAACAACAATTTCTGTTCTAATGTTTTTATTAGGCTGTTAAACAGCTGCTGGAGTTGCCTCTGAACCTGACCATCGTGTCTCCTGCTCACACACCCAACTGGGATCTGGTGAGTGACGTGGTGAACTCCTGCAGCCGCATCTACCGCTCGCCCAAGCAGTGTCGCAACCGCTACGAGAACGTCATCATTCCCAGAGAAGARGGAAAGGTACTGAATGACGTTGCTTTATTCTGCTGTCAAATAAAACTCCTCTGCTCATTTGTCTCATTATCCATTTTGCAATTTTTTTAGTTGGTGTATGAAGCCAACCCTAAGAAGAAAACTAAGAGCATATACAAGGTATCCTGTGCTGTCTGAATAGTTTTTTTCTGGTTGTTGAGCATTGCTTTGCTTTTAAAATCACTCTTGATTTTTTTCCAACTTTGTGTGTCTACCTTCAGTCTAAGAACAGTCGTCCTCTGAGGACCTGTCAGATCTACACACAGGATGACAACTCCTCTCAGATTCAACTGTACAACAGTCGCTTTGAAATCATGAGAATTATTGCCAGCAAACGGAGCCCACCAATCAAACCACTGTGAGTATCTGTTTACAATAAATGAGCTTACATGGACTAAAACCTGTCAAACAGAAACATAAAAAACCTAATGTTAGTTTTTATTCTTTCAGTTTGGCAATGCTTATTTTAATGTAATGATACTGTTTTACAGGCTTGGTATGAATCCATTTCAGAAGAACCCCAAACATGCGTCAGTCTTAGCAGAAAGGTATGTCTCAAAAATACWAATTTTACTACTTATAAAAACTTTAAATCCAAAAGAATAAACTTGATGTGTTTCCCCTCTCTTTAGTGGGATCAGCTATGACAAACCCCTGCCCCCCATTCAGGTGGCCTCTCAGCGCGCTGAAAGAATTGCCAAAGAGAAAAAGGTCAGCAGTCTGTATATTTGTGTGGAAGCATTCTGGCCTTATTGCAACAAATGTAAACACTTGCTAAACAAAAATCTAATTTCTAATCATTCTGCAGAGATGCAATGTTAATATTTGTCATATGGCTGTAGATATTTTTATAGCAGTTTTTAGTTCTTTTATTTTTACATGATTAGAATTAGCCAGAAGCTAATTTTAAAGTATAAAAACTTAGATGTGGTTTTTAGTCTTTATTTTGTATTTGCGTTTGGGGTAATATATATTTTTTGCATTGTTTGCAGGCCCTTGCAGAGCAGCAGAAAGCCCAGCAGTTGGCCCAGCAGCAGCAGCCTGGAGCTCCTCAGGCCCAGGTTGCACCTGGTCAGGCCCAGACTCCTGCTGCTGGCCAGGCTCAGATCCCTCAGGCTGCAGGAGTGCCTGGAGCCACCACTGTGCCGAATGCAGCAGTACTGGTGATGATAACTTGGTTCTGAGTAAAGAAACAACTGTTTAGGCTTAATAACAGAAAGTTTAACACAGTTGTGTTTTATTTTTTTAGACTGGTGCAATTAAAAATGTCACTGTAGGCACAACCATTCAGGCTGGTAAGTTTCACTCAATGTTTATTGTATCTGTGCAGGTAATGTTTAGTAATAAATTAATTTTGATGTATTTCTACAAGCTACTGTGGGAGGGAATGTGATTGTGAACACAGTAGCTGGAATCCCCCCAAGTCCCTTCCAGGCCAATAAACGCCTGGCATCTCCAGGCATCCCTGGCACCCTCTCTGTGAGTCATATTCACTTGTTACTGCAGCCCTTGGATTCATTTACTGTGCCACAAATAGTCTTTGAGCTGGATACCAATCAGTCAGAAAGATGACTAATTATTTGCATTTTGTTTGTTTCCATCGTTTATCAGCCTGCAGGCACAACTGGAGCCCAGGTGGTGCACACGCAGCAGAGGGCTGTTGCAGCGACTGCTGCCCCCACTGAAGTGGTGGCGATAGCTGCAGGGCAGAGCGTTCGAGCCGTGACCCCAGTGTCTGCAGCTGCCGTCGTTTCTACAACCCTGAGCCCGGTGCAGACACAGAACCGCCCGCTTGTTCCTCAAGTCGCTCCGGGTACAGAACCCCAAATTCCCTTTTCCACAAATGTTTTTTAAAGCTGTGTTTTTACACATCATCTGTTGTGTTTTCAGCCCCAGGTATGCAGAAGTTTAACCTGCAGATGCTCCGGGTGCATCAGCAGCCGGCTCCGTCCCCTCAGATCAAAGCTGTAAACAAACCTCAGGTACACACACAGCCTTTCTACACAAGACACAAAACCACTTTGAAAAATGATTTAAGCATGGCTCAATAAAAACATATACAATTAACTGAGATATTAAAGGAAACCCAGGTTACTTGTAACATAGTGCAGATGGAGGACAACAGAGCTGCTTCATGGATCAGAGAACCTCAGATTAGCCTGTTAGCTTTTGTGTCACCGTGAACATGTATTAGTCTAGGCGCTAACATGAAAGCTAACAGGCTAAACGGATCCATCCACAGTTTCAATTGTGGGCTGAGTCAGTTCTGCATTCTCCTGTCTGTCAAGATGCTCTGGTTTCATTTAAAAATACTGATCATCACATATTGTTTAAAATTAACCTTCAGGGTGGATAAGAAGCTGTGAATGTCATCATTTGTCCAGTATGCTTCACGGCGTTAATAAAATGGTGCCATCCACATGACAGTATTTTTTTATTTGGAAAAACTAAACAGCCTACATTATTTTTACAGTATTTGTTTTCAAGTTGAAGTAATAGTTTATCAAATTATGTCTAATGTTGCAGCTAGTCAGGGTTTCCTCTAAAAGTTGCAGTGACTGCAGTAGTTCTGATTTAACTTGTGTAAAAATGGTTGAAGTCTAGTTACCTCACCACTAACTCATTGTTTCCAGGAGTTGATAAAAATGCAGAAGCACAAGGTCCCCTTACAGCAGCAGCAGGTAGCTGCAGCAGCCCAGGGTCAACAAGCTGCAGTGACCCAGCAGACCGCTCAGGTGCAGCCTGCTCAGGCCAGTCCACAGATAGCAACTGTGGCCGCACCCAGACCTCTGCTGACCACAAACGCCATGCGTTTGGTAAGATGTAAAAACAGTTTCAGTTTTCAGATTTCTTACATACAAAATTAGCAAAACAAGGCTAACTTCAGATAAAGAAATTATGCCAGCCAAATATATCAGCTCAGTAAATAGGAGCCATCTTGTTTGTTTACGGCTTGTGATTGGTCCGGTCCACATCAGGTCACATGAGGAGCCAGTTAAACTTCATCAGACAGTAAAGTTTTAAAAAACTGTTGATATCAGTGCTTGAATGTGAGTGTGAATGACTGAAGTATAAAGCACKCTGGAGTCTGTGTGGGTTTGATAAGGTGCTATATAAGTTCAAGTCATTTACAAAAAGAAAAAATAAGTAGGTCGTCTGGATGGGTTCTTCTTTAGAGAACCGTTTCGTCTCCTCCAAGAGGTCCTGATGCATCTCAGTAATCCAGGTAAAAAATCAAAAAGAAAAAAATTGTGTAGGTCTTCTGGACGGGTTCTTCTCTAATGAAACGTTTCGTCTCTCCTCCAAGAGACTTCGAAGAAGTCTCTTGGAGGAGAGACGAAACGTTTCATTA